CCCCGTTGCCCCGGCGCCCGTCATCATTAACCCCGCCCCCCAGCAGCAACAGGCCCCACCCCCTCAACAGCAGCAAGCTCCGCCCAGACGGGAACGCAAGCAGGTAATGCGTCCATCCGTCTTCTGCATCTGGAGTTTCAGTGCTTTCTGTGGCCCTTGTTTGAATGTGCTTTTCTCCTAATATTTCTTTATCTAATGCACATCTCTAACATCTCTCACTGTACCAGAAATTAAGCTGTCAAGGTTGTTAATTTGACATTTTTATCAGCAATTTATTTCTGAATTAACAATAATTTGCTCTAGTGAGCCATGCGTCATTTATCCAGATTAATTTGTTAATTTCATGCCTCTTTAATTGACACAAACTGAACAAATCGGGGCTTTGAAGTGACTGGGTGATGTGTTTCTTTGTGTTTCTTTCTTTCTTTCTTACTGGTTTGGTTTCTTTCCTTCTTTTTTCTTTGTTTCTTTTTTCTTATATTTAATACATTTTATTTAATTTCTTTCTTTTATTTAATTTGTCTTTTTTTTCTTTCTTTCTTCACCTGAATATTTTTACTTAACATTTTCGACATAATTAGTTTTCCTGAGGCCGTGTTTGGATGGTGGTTTCTTGTGTTTTGGATGCATTTTAATAGCTTTTGGTTTGGTTTGTCCTAGCGATGCACTGAAAAATCAGCAGCCAAAAATATTTGGCCAAAAATGTATTTTTGGTTTCTGCCAAAATAGTTTTGGAGGGCCGAAATAATTGACTGATTACATATAGGGCCAAAATTTGTATCACGATATATCTCTTAGTTTTCAGAAACAAATAATAATATATATTACTGAATTCACAGCAAATGCAACAAACTTAGTAATGCATTTTTGTCACATAGAAATGCACTTGACAGTAAAGCATTGATTTTGAGCTAGAATGCAGGAAACGTATTGCTAATAAATTCTGTCATCATTTCCTCGCCCTCATGTCGATCCAAACTTGTATGACTTGCTTTCTTCTGTGGAACCCAAAAACGATATTTTGTAGAATGTTACCAAACCATTTTGGTAACCCTTGATTTCTACTGTATGGACAAATTTCTTGAATTTCTCAAATTATCTTCTTCACATACAGGTTTGGAATGACATGATGTAACTAAACAACTAAACTAAACATCTAAAGAGAAAGATGTTTAAAACGCGGGCGCTTCGCGGCAGGCGCCGCCAAAGATAAAAATATTTCATCTTTGTGTAAGCGGCAGCGGCAGCTTTAACCAATTACTGAACAGAAGTATAAAAACATCTATGTATGGGAAACACTATATCGAAATATCGGAACTGTGTTTAAAAATCATATCGCCGTTATTGAAAAAATATATACCGCGATATATATTGAATTGTTGTCCAGCCCTAATTACATATTAATTATATTTTTACTTAACCTGTTGTTGTCATTATCCAATGTATGTTTGAATAAAAATAATTATTATAGCCACTGTTTAAATGTTTATATTTTATAGCCTATATGATTTGGAGTAGAAACAATTAGAAATTGATATAAAAACACCCTATGTGCAATTAAAATTTTTATATACAACAGTTTTCATTTAAGTGTTGATTATTGAAATAACTATTAATAAACTGATTCATTAATGAATTGGCTTTTCAGCTGTTCAGTAAAATATTAATTTCGGTGCATCGCTAGTTTTGTCGCGCTCTGACCTGATTGTCAAGTTGAGCTCATAAGGTGCTAAATCAAAGCTTTGATTAGAATGTTTTCAAACGCAGTGATACAATCTCTCTTTAAATTCCGCATCAAAGACGGAACCTCAGAATTAGAACTTCTGTCGCCGTGATGATGGATGCATCTCCATGGTAACAGCGTTGCGTGCAAACGATGGGTTCTAAAAGTAAAATTCCTGTTCATTTTCACCAAATAGATGTTTAACTTGTTTATCAATGAATATATACTTCTGTTGAAGCCGTCACTTTGCGTTATTACATCTTCATTTTTAAAAGAATCACATTTAATTCAATTTCTGCTGAAGAACTGCGTTACCCATTGATTCTGTGGAGAAATATCCATCAATCATAGATCATTAATGGTTTAGTATGTGATGTGTTAGTGTGCTGTTATCAGGCTTTCTGGGAGCTCACAGCTGGACCGGTGGACTTTGAGTCCTCGAGTCTCGCTCTTGGCCGTCAGTGAGGTTTCATTTCAGAGGAATAGAAACTGAGAAGGAAGAGAGGAGGAGAAAAGAGAGAGAGAGAGGACTGCAGGGTTGGGTGTGAGGCATTACTAAGTCATTCATTAATTATTCGTTACAGTTACTCCTACAGTTAAGACATTTGTATATAAAAACAACAGTAGATTTAACATCTAATGTTAAAACGTATGTTTTTAATGTAACCTTCTCCCTTTAAATACATTGGTCAGTTCAAGAATAATGTATGCAATTTTATATTATTCCTTTGAAAGAATTAAATGAGCAGTTTCATGTCTTTTTTTTTTTTTTTTGTTTGTTTAACTGGTCAAGGCTGGTGTGGGATTTACTGTTGAAAATAATTAGTAATAAGTAATTCAGTACAGTAATCTAATTACTCTGTTGAAGATGTAATTAGTAACTAGTAATTAATTAAAAAAAATTTTTTGAGTAACTGACCCGACACTGACTGCTACCAGGATTATTACCTAATATTAAACTATTAAAAACATTTAGTTAATTTAAATAAAGCTGAAATAAATTTAAATATTAGATGAAAAACTTAATGTGAACAAAAATTTGGATTATTCATTCAAATGTTAATTTTAGCTTGAACTGTATTTGGAGTTAATAAATGCTGTTTTATAAGATAATTTTGTTTTTATTTCTATTTTATTTTCATGGTATCCTCAAACAACGATTGACTGTCATAAAGCTGAGTGATTCAGAATCAGATTGAATGTTGATTACATTTAATTCTGAGCAGTAACTGATAATCTGGTTTATTTTAGCTTTATTTTTTTTTTTTTTTAAGTAGTAGAAAAATTAGGAGTAAGTGTCTTCTGCTCACCAAGATTGCATTTATTTGATGACAAATACACTAAAAATTGTGAAATATTATTAAAATTTAAAACAGCTGTTTTCTATGTGAATCTCTGTTAAAATGTAATTTATTTCTGTGATGCGCAGCTGAATTTTCAGCATCATTACTCCAGTCTTCAGTGTCACATGATCTTCAGAAATCATTCTAATATGCTGATTTGCTGCTCAAGAAACGTTTCTGATTATTAGCAATGTTCAAAATTCAGTTCATGTGGAAACTGTGATGCATTTTATTTTTCAGGATTCACAGATGAATCGAAAGTTCAAAAGAACAGCATTTATTTGAAATGGAAATCTTTTGAAACATTGCATATGTCTTCAGGGTCACTTTTGATTAATTTAATGCGGTCTTGCGGAATAAAAAGTCCCCAACTCGTAGTCAGTGTCTCTGTAAAGTAATTCGGTTCAGTTCTGTCGCTCCACGTGGCTCTCAGTCTCCACCCAATCTCTCTCTCTCTCTCTCTCTCTCTCTCTCTCT